AATCCACAAAATACAATGAGCAAAACACATTGGCAAAATTCTTCAGGATAAAGAGCTCAAAAGAGTCCTAATAATTTAGCAACATCAACAAACAAATAAATGGAACTCAAACTAAAGAAGGTTTTGCATGGAAAAAGAAACTCAAAAGACACCCTAAATAAAAAAAATACTAAAAAGACACCCTATTTAATGGGAGAAAATCTTTTCATACTATTTAGCAGAAAAATTATCTATATCCAAGATTTCTAAAGCACTCCCTAAGCTCAACAACAACGACAACAACAAAAAACCACAATAACCCCATTAAAATCTGGGGAGAAAGGATGAACACTTTCTGGAAGAGAACATAAAATTGGCAAGTAGTCATATGAAAACATGTTTATCATTACTAATTATCAGGGAAATGCAAATGAAAACAATAAGTATGACCTCACTCCACTGAGAATAACATAAACATAAAAGATTAGAAACCACCTGTGGTGGTGGGGATATGGTTTTATAAAAGAAGGAACCTTCTTTCACTGTTGGTGGGGATATTGTCTGGCTCAGCCCCCATGGAAAACCAGGATGGAAACTTCTCAAAAATCTAATAATAAAGCTTGCACATGACCCAGAGATTCCACTTTTGGGCATCCACAAACACACAAATTCACACACACAAACACACACACGATACACACACAATGAAATGCTACTGAAATCCTACTCAGTTGTAAGAAAAGATGAAACCTTGCAGTTTCCCACAACTTGGATGGAACTGGAGGGCACCATATTAAGAGAAATAAGTTGGAAGTAGGTAAAATTTTGGAGTTTCATTTACTGTAATTATATAGAGAAACAAAGCAAGGGAATAGTCAGTACTGAACAATAATAAAGTCTTGGTCTCTGATTCTAGAACACAGGTTACCAAGTAGTGGAAGGTGAGTGGCTAGGGAGGAAGATGCAAACCAGAAGTGACACAGGTTAGTGATGAAAGGACTTAATCAGTATAATGGTTGAAGGTACTGTAATTATGTACATCAAGACCATAAAAATTAACACACTTTTGTAACCATGTTACCAAATTACAATCTGACAAGAAAAAATAAAAAAATAATGTAACAAGACAATTGATTTAAATACATTAGCACTAATAATGCTATTAAATACAGACAATCTTAACACTGCAATTTAAAGTCATGGTCAGATTCTACCAAGACCAAAAAAGAAATATGCTATGTATCACGGTTATCACGGTCCTCCCATTGTTTATTGATTTTGCTCCAGCGAAAACTTGTTTTTCTTCAAACTGACACTAATAGGCTAAATTTTAAATAATAGGAATATATATACTAACATTAATAAAAAACATCAAGGGTTACTACATTACATTAGAAAAATAAGTTCTGAAAAAATATTATCAGGGATATAAAGAAGGAAAATTCTAAATATAAATGTATTAATTCACTAAGAGGCTATTCGGAACCCTAAAAAATTTATGCATCTAATAAAAGCTTCAGAACACATGAAAGAAAAAATATATTTAAGGAAAAATGCACGTGCACAATTAGTGCTGGAGACTTCAAAAGCCTTCTCTTAACAGATAAAACTGGTATAATGTTACCAGGATTTTGTGGGGGTGGTGATGAAAAATAATACAAAAAATAAGATAGTGATATTTAGAATGTCATATATTTTTAATTACACATAAAAATGCCAGACAACATTAGGTTCTGTGGAGAAAAATAAAGCAAAGCAGGGAAAACGTTACAAAAGAATGAGGGAGGATGTGATTATTTTGTCAGCATATATACTAAGAAAGGGGGCGGCATTTTTTTATGTACATTGTTCAGGGAACCCCTTGCTAACAGAGTATTTCTGAGCAGAAACTGAAAGTCATGGAACTATTTCACATGCTTATCTGGGTGTAAATCATTTCAGACACAGGAAATAGACTTGGGAGGGGATTATGGGGGAGTAAGACATGCTTGGGATATTGGAATTCAGCAAGGAAAATAATATAACTAGAAAAGCAACTAGAAAGAGAGGCAGACAAAGAATACATATGTTTATAAGCCCGTATAGGAGTTGTTTTTATAAGATGGGAAATGATTTAGAGAAAAACATAATTTGACTTACATTTAAAAAATACCAATATGGGGGCTGGGGTTGTAGTTCAGTGGCTGCACATGTGCCCTGCATGTATGAAGCTCTGGGATCAATTCCTGGAGTCACAAATATCTATCAAACTGATGCTTTTTGGAAAACAGACTAAAGAAAAGCAAGGATAGAAAGAAAAGCTGTTAGGGATCTATTCTAATAATGAAAGAAATGTCTAGGTTTATAGTGGTAAATGCGATGGGGGTAAGGTTTTGCTATAATGGAGTAGTTATGGAACATGAAAAAGCAACAATTTAAAAAAACTAAAGACTCTGGGGTTTTCAAGTTGAGCATCTACGATAAAATAAATATTTTGTTTTGAAATGAGAAAAAACAAAACATATTTAGAGAGCAAGGAAGCAGAATCATAGCATGGCTTTAGAAAAGAAATTTCTGGATGCTATAATATATTCAAGTAGAAGAACTAGTTAGGCAGTACTCGATACAAAGTATTCAGTGATACTCTGGATGCTATAATATATTCAAGTAGAAGAACTAGTTAGGCAGTACTCGATACAAAGTATTCAGTGATACTCAGCAGTACACATGTAGATGTTATGAAACATGCACTTGAAAAGTTTTCATACACAGGTATAAAATATGTCTAATGAGAAAACTAACAAAATACTACCATTTGAAATCTGTAAGGAATTGTACAATGAAAAATATTTATTTTTCTTTTGGTGTTTGTGAAATTCTGTAATTTTTCAACAATAGTTATATTACTTTTATTTGGGGGAGTGTTTTTAGATCACACCCCACTATACTAAGGATTACTTCTGGCTCTGTAACCAGGGATCACTCCTGGCAGTGCTCAGGGGATCACATGTGATGCCAGGAATCAAGTTGTGTGGGTTGCATGCAAGATAAGGGTTTTAACCTCTGTACTACCTCTCATGCCCTACAGCTATGTTATTTTTATTAGAAAAAGGGAAAAATGTTAGTTTGTGTTTTTTGAGGGTAGGGCTGTTTCTTTTTGTTCTGGGGAACATTCCTGTGGTGTGTAGGGCTTACTCCTGGGTCTGTTTACAGGGATCACTACAGGTGGTACTTAGGGGGACAATATGTGGTACAGGATATGAACTGGGGTCAGCCACAAGGGTAGTAAGTGATTTAGCCCCTGTACTATCTCTCCAACCAAAGACATTTTTGCTTTTAAAGAAAGAATCAGGGACCACTATGACAATGACGGTTGGAGGGGTTGCTCTGGATAGGACATGTCTGCTAAAAGTGGGTAAAGGACCAAATATGATTGCCTCTCAGTAAAAGGTAAAGGTAAAGGTAAAGGCCCTCCCATTGATCGTCGATTTGCTCGAGCGGGCCCAGTAACGTCTCCATTGGAGACTTTGTTGTTACTGTGTTTGGCATATCGAATACGTCACGGGGAGCTTGCCAGGCTCTGCCGTGCAGGCGAGATACTCTCGGTAGCTTGCCGGGCTCTCCGAGAGGGGCGGAGGAATTGAACTCGGGTCGGTCATGTTGGCCGCTTGTAAGGCGAACGCCCTACCCGCTGTGCTATCGCTCCAGCCTCTCAGTATCTTTTTCTTTTAACTTTTTGTTTGTTTTGCTTGCTTTTTTTAAATATTTTTAATGAATCACTATGAGATATAGTTACGGACTTACAAACTTTCGTGATTACATTACAGTCATACAATGTTCGAGTACCCATCCCTCCATCAGTGCCGATTCTCCACCACCAATGAACCCAGTAGCCCCCCATCCCCCACACACACACCGCCCCACCTCTGTAGAAGGGCATTCCCTTTTGCACTCTCTTTCCTTTAGGGTGTTACAGTTTGCAATACATGTAGTAAGTGGCCATCATGTTTGGTCTATAATCTACTTTCAGCACGCATCTCCCATCCTGAGAGAGCCCTCCAAGCATCATTCACTTAGTGGTCCTTTCTCTATCCCAGCTGCCTTTTCCTTCAGCATGTGACCTCTCAGTATCTTATATCTTATTGCAAACTACAATGTCCCAAAGTAGAGTGAGAGAGAGTAAGACAAAAAGTGCCTGCCAAAGAGTCAGGGGAGGGAAGGTGGAGGTGGTGTGGGGTGGCAGGAAGGATACTGGGGACAATGGTATTGGGAAATGTACACTGGTGGACAGATGGGTGCTGGAACAGTGTATGACTGAAACCTGATCATGAAAGCTTTGTAACTGTGTATCTCACAGTGATTCAATAAAAAATTATTTTAAAAGAAAGGAAAAAAGAGGTAACTGAGGCACTGTCAAAAGAATATTAGGGGCTGGAGAGATAGCACAGCGGGTAGGGCATTTGCCTTGCATGCAGTCGACCCGGGTTCGATTCCCAGCATCTCATATGGTCCCCTGAGCACCACCAGGAGTAACTCCTGAGTTTAGAGCCATGAGTAACCCCTATGCATTGCTGGGCCTGACCCAAAAAAGCAAAAAAAAAAAAAAGAATATTAGGAATATTAGGCAGTTGGGAGGAAGGAAAAATGCAAATGAGACTAAGTGAGGGGAAAGGCAGAAACAAAAACTTTAAGGAGGGAAAATATGTAAGATAACAGAATCAATATTCAAAATGGGAGAATGGGTAATTCAAATTATATGAAATCTGAGACAGATGAAAGTTTCTACAATAGCTATGAACAGTCATTTTATGACTGAGTTTTTATTCTGAAAGCCCAAAGCAAGGACAAAAGAAAAGGAAATACTGATATTGAGGGTACTGAACACAGAGATGTAACACCATGCTCAAATAAAGGAACAGAGTTCCTAACTACAAAAGGTGATGAACATATTGAAGCAGGCAGACTCACTTTGATCTTCTGGGTAAATTCAAACATTTTAAGCTTTATTCTGTAAGTTATAAAGAACCAAATAGATATCCCAGATCAGCTGAAAATCACCCATATCTCTGGCCATGGAGTTGGGTGAAGTTCAGTGCCCAGAATCAGTATGGCCTCAGCTCACTACCTACTCTTCAGTCTGGGGAGGTGAAAGCTAGGCCCTACCATGCAAGCACAGCTGGAAACTTCAGATTTCTCCTCTTTGGGCCACAGGACACCCCAGAATCCCAATACCTGAGACTACACTGCTGGGACAACAGGGAAAATGAGGCTTCCATTCCCCAGCCCTCTTCAATAAAGTTGTCGATCAAGTAAAAAATTAACAAATGGGTGCCACACCGATTTGTGTTTTAAACCACCATCATTATAACAGTCTTGAGAACAGATTTAAATGTAGATAAAACTATAGGAAGGAGATATGACTGAGGACTACTGCAGAAATCCCGATGGAAACTACAGAATATTAAATCACAATTTCAACAGGAATAGAAATACTGGAGGAAATGTAAGTGATGATAAAAATAGATACTTTCTGAGATCAAGTGGATTTATATATATAGGCACATCCACATTCACATTTTTATATGTTTGCATACATGTGTGTTTATATATTAGAGAGACAGTGTGTTTACCTTAGTCAAAGTAGAGAAAAGAAGACAAAGGGACAAAGTTCTGGAGAAAAATAAGGTCATCTTAGACCTTGAAAGAGAGACAGAGAAAGAGAAAGATATTCCCTTAGTCAAATGTTCTAAAAGCAGACAAATTTCTGGGGGAAAATAGCCCAAATTAAGCATTGGGAGGAAGCAAATTCACTTAGTCAAATGATGTAAAAGCAGACAAAGTTCTGGAGGAAAATAAACTCAGTTTATGTGTGTATTATCTAGAAAAGTAAAGAATTCAGTCAGATGTGTAGACGTGGAGAAAGCAAAGTATTTCTGTTAAGTATATGTTAAGACTTGGAGTTCTGAAGGCAGACCACCTAAAACTTATTCCTCACTAGCTGTATGACCTTGAGAAAAATGTGGTTATTTCTAGGCCTGAGTTTCCGCAATAAAAAAATGGAAAAATCACCAGTAATATTATCTGAGTTATTACAATCATTAAATAAGATAATATATTTAAAACACAGGCTGGAGAGATAGTCCAGCAGGTAGAGTGTTTGCCTTGCATGTCACTGACCCAAGTTCCACCTCCAGCATCCCAAATGGTCCTCCTAGCCTGCCAGGAGTAATCCAAGTGCAGAGCCAGGTGTAACCCCTAGACACTGTATGGTGTGGCCCCCAAACAAACAAATATATAGAGAGAGCACTGCGGTTATTATGGTATGGCAATTTAAGGGCTAGAATGATAGCACAGTGGGTAGGGCATATGCCTTGCACGTGGACAACCCGGGTTCAATTCCCCCGCCTCTCTTGGAGAGCCCAGCAAGCTACCGAGAGTATCTTACCCAAATGGCAAAGCCTGACAAGCTCCCTGTGATGTATTCAATATGCCAAAAACAGTAACAACAAGTCTCACAATTTGTTGTGAGACGTTACTGTTGCCTGCTTGAGCAAATCTATGAACAATGGGAGGACAGTCATATCCAGTGCATACATTTTTGCCTACTCTCTAGGCTGGACATTTACCTGCCAATAGAAATGATTCCGGAGTTGAGTGTTACATGCAAGTTTTTAAACCGCTAAAGACACAGGCTTCTAATTCTCTGGAGTTAAAGTATGTGGACTGAGATCATCTACTCATATGAGAAATTTAAAAACTCTTTTTAAAAGAAATTTAAAAGTAAATAATAATACAATAATGAACACAATGCAGCAATAGTATTAGAATAAATGTTTGCTAAATTATGAAAGGAAAAATGATTCCATTATCAAAACTAATGTAGTTATAATAAAAATGATAAAAATCAGAATTTTTCTTTGTACATATTAAAATCAATTTTAGGGTTTTGGGGGAAGTGGCACAACTACTGATACTCAGGGCTTACATGTGGCTCTCTGCTCTGGGATCACGCATGCTGTGTTTGGGGAAACATATGTCATGTTGGATATCTATCTTGTGTAGGCCACGGGCAAGTACCATACCCACTATACCATTGCTCTAGCCCCAACAAAAGTAATATTACACTTGCTGCACTCTACATGGCTGGAACAATATTACAGTGGGTAGGGTATTTGCTTTGTATGTAGTCGTCCTGAGTTTGATCCCTGGCATATCATACAAGTCAACCAAGCATTGTGAGGAGTAATATCTGAGTGCAGAGCCAGGGGTAAGCCCTGAGCACTACCAGGCATGGCCTCCTCAAACTCAAAAAAATAGCTGTACTCTAATGCATTCCCTCTTGAAATTATACTAATTATATTAAATCTGCACCATTTATTCAGTGAAATCCTACATGTGGGAATATCTTTAACAGAGGCTAGTCTTATCATAAATATTAAAATAACTAACACCCTTGTCAGAGGAGACCCCTGCAGTTTTAGAAGTGTGTCAGAAATAGAACTCTAATAGAGAACTGACACCAACACAGAGTCACTACCTCACAGCCTGGGTATCCGAAACATATTAGGCCAATAATCCACTAGTTTACTCTAATCAAAATACTCCCCAAACTCACCGAAATAACAGTGAACATAAGAATTTGAAAAAGTCTAATGTGAAGGAACACATCTCCTAAAGCTGCACTAGAGGCCCCACTTAAGTCACAGAGGAGTACCAAAGAGGAAGTTAGTATTCTTGAAGTGGTAAAAGGAGACCACCATAGACCGAGCTCATCCAGAATCTTCCCTCACAGCAAGGAGGGACACTGATAGTATACTGGAGGGATCCACCTTCATGCTATTACAGCAACATGAAGAAATGGAGCAGATCCCCACCATGAGAAGTGGATGAAGAACAAAGCCCAGAAGCATCAGTAGGAATTCCCAAAATACAACCACTCCGATAAAGAATTCAGAGATGAAATGTTGAGGATGTTCAATGAGCTCAAAGAAAAGTTAGAAAATATATTCAGTGAATTAAAGGAGGTTATGAGAGAAACAGTGGAACACAGCCAATAAAATACAGGAAGAAATGAAAGCAGAAATAAAAATGCTACAAACAGAAGTGTCACTAAGGATTCGGTAGATGAAATTAAAAACTTAGTGGGTGACCTCAAAAACAGAATGACAACAACCAAAGACAGAATCAGTGAGTTTGAAAATGAGCTGCAGAATGACAACAACCAAAGACAGAATCAGTGAGTTTGAAAATGAGCTGCAGAAAGCATACAGGCAACAAAATACAATAGAAAAAGACCTCAAAAAAAGCCCAAGGGCAAATAAGAGAACTACAGGATGAATTCAAGACGAACAACATATGAATCATCAGAGTACCAGAAGAAAAGGGAGGCAACCCAATGAAGAACTAACAGTTAAAGATATCATTGCTGAGTAGTTCCCAGAGCCGGAGAATGCAGACATCCAGATTCAAGAAGGTCAAAGGGTACCAGCTAAAAGAGACCCTAATAAAAAAGAATCTAAGACATATTATAATCAAAAGGACAAATACCACAAATAGAGACATAATACTGCAAGTAGCAACATCAAAGAAGGAAATCACATACAAAGGAGCACCTCTTAGATTTACAGCAGAATTATCAGAGGAAACCATCCAAGACCAAAGACAGTGGTGGGATATACAGAAAAAAATTAAAGAAATGAACCCCTCATCAACAATACTTTATCTGGCTAGTCTCTCACTCAGCTTGACCAATACACTATTTCATGGATAAATAACAGCTTGGGAATTTTATACAATTTTATACATATAAAATACAGACAAAGCCACTGCCATGTTGACACACCCACCAGCCCTGCTCTACAAATTTCTGACTAAATCTACAAGGAGAGGCAAGCAAAGCAGAAAAAAGTTATTAACACACTGGTGCCCACAGCTGAAAACTCTGGGGTGCCCTCAGGAAGCGGATGGGCAAAGTACCCACCCTGCTGAAGCGCTGAAAGCCATGCCAAGGGCTCAACTCCACACCTTTATGAATATTCTCCTCAGAAACACCAAACTGCGAGTAACTTTAGGTACCCCAGTGCCCAAGCTAAGAACTCTGGAGTTTTCTTGGAGTGGGGTGGGCAGCATTTCCCCGACACCTTTGCCCTACTCCTCAAAGCCCCAGCAGCCATATCCACCTTCCACAAATTCCACCACATCAAATCAGACAATATATACTGAAGTCTCTGGACAACCAATTTTCTCAATACTGGAAAGTCCAATAGGAACACACCAAATTAGATGATGGGAAAATAACATAAACACCAAGTGAACTCAAGAAAAAAATCAATAACAAAGAGGGCATAATGAACAACAAACAGGTTAATAAAATTCTTAGACAAGGATAATAACACCGTGATGCGATATAACAATTTTCACCCATAAAGGATTTTTATGCTTATAGAATTTAACATTGGATCTTTATTATATAATCAATTTCAATTTTATTAAGTTTATCAACAGGTTTGACTTTTGTCTATATTAAAATAAATTGTTCAAAACTTTTTTATTTTGCTTTTTGGGTCACACCCAGCGATGCTCAAAGGTTACTCCTAGCTCTGCTCTCAGAAATTACTCCTGGTAGTGCTTGGGGGACCATATGGGATGTCAGAGATTGAACCCAGGTCAGCCACATGCAAGGCAAAACGCCTTACCTGTTGTACTATCACTCCGGGCTGAATGTTTTAAAAAATTTTAACTAAAAAATGAAATATGATTACTATTAAAATGAAGCTGAAAGAGGAAATACTAGACAGTAGGTTAATAAAAATGAACATTTAATGGGGAACCCAGTGAAAATGAAGGTAGCCTCATTATAAATGCCAACATATATTTAAATCCTGTAGCATAACAAAAATTTATATCAGCTAAACACCTACTTATAAGGCACATAATTAGAAATCCCAACTTTTAAAAAAAAATTTTATTAGTAAAAAACCATAAGGTACAGTTGTAGACTTACAAATTTTTGTGCTTGGGTTTCAGTTATACAATGATCAAATACTTATCCCTCCACCAGTGCCCATTTTTCCACCATCAAAGATCCCAATATCCTTCCCAACCAAATCCCCCATATCCCACGCTGCCTCTGTGGCAGGGCATTCCCTTTTGTTCTCTCTCTCCTATT